TCTCATTCATTATCTCGTCACTCTCATGGCAAATCAAACTAAACTCCACATCGTTCAGCTACAAGCATCCACCCATTTACTCACTGAACTTACCCAGTAGAACTTTTCTGTTTGGCGTTGACAACTATGCTCCATCCTAATCAACAATGATTTCTACGTTATGTCGATGGTACAACAGAACCACGCCCAAAAATCTCGATAATAAATACAATATTATATACTCAACGTGCTACCGCCATGGTCAAATCATTGTAAACGTAATGTTAGGTAGCTGTTTCGCAACCTTTCAAACCCACATATCATTTGTATTCACCTCTAAATAGGCATGAGATCGACTTCAGGTCCTTTATGCTAACAAATCTCGCACTTCGTTCATCTCTCTCAAACAACGACTCATTGAAAATCCTACAGAAGATAAGCCTATCTCTATGTATTTACAAGAAATACATGGAATTAGAGATAATATGCCTTGGCTTATTGTCCAGTAGATGACGATTATCTCGCACTCCAAGTTATTTATCGATTGGGCAACAATTTCAAATAAATTTATGCGGCAGTTCAAGCACGAGACACCCCAATCTTGTTGTTGGAAATTTTAGTATAAATATGTGTATTTTACTAACTTTGGACATATATAAATATATACATATGTTGTGTATATAATTAACTCTAAGTAGGTTTCTGTTCTAGTGTGTGAGAGCTTTGAAACGATATGTCGTATGTACAAAATGGAATATATATGAATGAGATATCGATACTCAAAGTTGGTAATTTGAGAATAAAAGTTAGCAAAAGAGGTGGGTGTGGGAATAAATGTCACATTGGTAGGAAGACCATACTCAAGTGAATTTATAAGCTTAAATGAATGATATGCTTACAAGCTTGTGTCTATGGTTTTAATCCAACTCCCATTAGCGCGCACGGGGGTGTGAATCTTGGATTTCGTAGGCGAAATTCACCGAACTTGTGCATGGGCGTAACGTTTTTGTCTTGTAGATTATTTGATTCAGACATATTTTTTCGATTCAAGAAACATATCCCATTAACTAAAACTTGTTAGATGAGGTGCATGACAAGATTGTTGACTACAATATGCAACAAAGTTGTTCGGAGAACACTTCCTACTCCTGTCATTCCTAACGCAAATTACACCCAACATATGGTAGTTGGCCGACGACTAGAAATGCTCATGAAAGCAACTCGATATTCAAGAATTACCAACATCTTCAATAATAATTATAGAACTGATGGTGCTATCTGGCGACTAAAGTGTTTTAGTTCCCAAAATCACTCCTACTGCTGATCACTTTACTCCCACTCAGACGTCTCCATCCCCAGTGTGGGTATTTGATACTGGATCATCTTATCACACCACTACCAATACTATCAATATGTTTGTATACACAGATACTTGGTTTTTACAAAATAAAAAATTGTACTATTTGTTTGGTTGTAATTTTTTAGTTTTCTATTTTGTTTTTGCTCACCCTTAACTAAAACTATATACGGAAACAAGTGATGTATACATAATATTTATTCAAAACAAGTAACAAAAAAGAATCGTCAAGTTTAAGTGGTGATTTTATTAATTAGCAGTAGAATGCATTTTGATAAGCAGAATAGTTTAGCGAATTTATTTAAATTTTTGACAGCCATTCAATATTATTTACACTTCATCTTAACCAATTGTATCCCTTTCTCATATAAATCAAATTCAATTGGAAACTCTCTTTATATCCGAACTTTTTGAGTGCATTCCCTTAAAAAAAACCTTTGAAAAAGTATCATTTATCTACGTAATTAGTAGTTTTTATTGGGATTTAAATATGGTTGTGAGAACATCTACAATGCATAGTCAAATGAGAGAATTGAATGAGGTGAGATACCCGGTTGGCATTCAAAACATTAAAATCAACCAATATAAAATTCCATGTTGGTGTTCAATACATAAGAAATTCAATGGTCATTGAACTTTTCAAAAGGGAAAATGAAACTTGTTTCAATGCATATGCAGTTCAATATCATAAATGGTTTATGTAAATATATCCCATTAAACGTTTGTAGATTTCAGTTTATTATAGGAAAAAATGGTAAAAGTTGTATGAAAAGTAGAAAGATGATGTGTTAATCCATTTAACTCTATAAACTTCAATGTTCTGAGAGAATCCACAAGGCTTAGTTTAACGGAAGAGCTAAATGAGATAGAATGCTTAGTTGATGTTAAATAAATTAAATGAATGAGACATAATGTCTAGTTGTCATTCATGTAACATTCCAATGATGTGATATTTTCAATTTTAACCCTCAGTATGAAGAATTATTGCATTTTGGACCTTGTGCATGAGAAAGCTTGCAAAATGGCCCATAGTGGCATTTTTGTAATTTTATGGCGGACTCACGTACGCGGGGCGTACGTGTGTGATCCACAACCCTATTTTTTAGGGTTTGGACCCTACATAAACATCATTAACTTTCAAGTGCTCACTCCCTCATCATCCTCCAACACCTCCAAACGATCTTAGCAAATCCTAGCCACTTGTTTGAGCATTCTTGACCCTTGTGTGTGTTTCTTGTGGCATTGAAGGAGAAAGAAGGATGTAGAACCACCTTGGAAGCTTGAAGGAGCTTTGGATATGGAATCTTCACATATCTAGCAACCTCCAAGAGATATAAAACTTTAAACTTGGCTTGTGATTTCTTAGATCTTGCTAAATTATTGATTCATGAACATTTTGGTCTCAAGTCTTGACCTTTTTGAGTATGGCATGCTCCAGCCCATTTAAACTGTCATTTCAGACGTTTTGAATAGTTTAGAAGCATAAAAGTAGGGTCTGGGCTCTTAACTCTTCCCCATGGATGTGCTTGGTGGTCTTAATGGATTAAGAGGTCGGGGTTTCTAGCATTTAACACTTATTGGCCATGCAAGACCATAAAGTTGGAAAGTTTATGGTCAAGAATGATATTTGGGACTTGGATCTGTAAATTGGACGTAAAAGATCAAGTATTAAGCACTTAGTGCATTCAAAAGAAGTTCAGTTGCATACGTTGGGCGTATCAATTGGCATGTTGCACGTACATAGCCAAACCCTCGTTTCATGGTCAACCATCGAGTACGCCCCATATACTCGGGTGGGTCGACTCGGCTAGGTTGACTCGGCTAGGTTGACTTGACTGGGTTGACTCGGCTGGTTTGTTTGCTTTGACCTTTAACCAAGTTTCACCTGAGGGTATTTTAGGCAAATTGAGTGGTACTTGAGATCTGTTATTATTTGGTGTTTAGGTGACCAATTGAGTTGTCATTTGGAGCTGTGTTCTGTCAAATGTCTTTGTAGACTGATAGGAGATTTTTCCTCAATGTACTTATGGGTCGAAGGCACTAATGTCGGCCACCTTGATTATGTATCCTGGTTTAGAGGATGTTGATATGTTATAGTGATCAGTGACGGAGCTTGAACAAATGAGTTGGGGGGGGGGGGGGGGGGGCGAAAGTAAAATATATATACAAAAGTTGAAGAATAGGGGGGGCCATAGTCAAAAAAAAATTTTGTTTTGGGTCTAATATGTAAAGTCTTTAATAGTAATGGACTTGTTCTAAAAAAAACAGGGGGCCACAACCCCCCTCGCCCTTATGAAGATCCGTCAATGATAGTGATCAGTTAGATTGGTATCCTGGTAAATAGGATATAGTATGCAGTAGTGATCTGTAGGTCTGTCTGCTTGTCTGATGACTAGTTATATATTTATATATTGCTGGATATATGTTATATGTTATGTATATGTCGACATGGTATGGTTGGGTTAAGGTAGTACTGCTTTGTGCGGTAGCCAACAAACCTAGGAGCAAGCCATGCATAAGCTGTGGGCCTACAGGTCAAGCCAGACTTATGATGTGGGCTCGGGAGCAAGCTAGATATGAGTTGTGGGCCTGAAGGGGCAAGCCAGACTCATACTATGGGCTCAAGGGTAATCCTATATGTTAGTTGTGGACCCAATATATGTTGTTCTATGTTGTGTGTTGGTACTTTGGGGGAACTCACTAAGCTTTAGCTTACAATTTCATTTTATTATTTCAAGTACTTTGGATGATTGTGGGAAAGCGAAGGCGTGATCCTGCACATCTTCCTTTTTTGTGTTATGGGATCTTGGGAAAACTCCGATTTTGAATAATAGTTTTAAATCAATGACTCTTTGTAAACAATGATTGGTAAATGGTTGATTTTAAAATTTTAAAATTTCTATGATTTTTGGAGTGTTACAAATTGGTATCAGAGCCTTGGTTTGAGAGAATTGGATGAACACCCGTGTGAATCCAGACTCAAACTAGGGAACTGCGAAAGTTCTTAAACTGTTTTTCAATTTTTTTTTCAAAAGTAACCAAGGAAGGATGCAATGTGTACGATCAGTCGGACCAAGGAAGTATACCCCAAGTTACCCACATTGTTATTGATAGTACGTTTATATTAGAACAACATGTTAGTGTTAGGGTAGGGATCTCTAGGATTTGCATGATAGAATCGCCTGATATGTGATGCCTGATAGCCTAATATTATTTCGTCTATGGAATTGACATCATTACTGTAGTTTCTTGGTGTATGCATCATAGTTGTACATAACTAAGATTCTATAGCTTGATAATGTTTGGTTAGCCTTATTTCCTGTTCTTCTTTGATGAAGGGCTTAGGATAGAATCAATTATTTGACTGTCTATAGGATCCAGTGTTATGTATGATTAGCATACATGAGTGTTGTGTTATGGTCGCCAATAACAGATATGGCAAGGTTTATCAGAAGCGTAAGAAAGAACCTAAGGCAAGTGGAGGAGGCTAAAAGGATTTCATTTTTTAATGCATGCTATTAATTAGGAGTATTTTAATTCAAGATAATGTCTAGTTTTGAGTCTAATTCTGTTTCCAAAGTCTTGGTGATTTAGGAGATTTGCTTTCCTTATTTTTGAGTATTTGTTTTCCCTATTTAAAGGGCAGTCTTTATTGGAAAAAAGCATGCTTGAATTTCTTAACAATCAGAGAATAATATCAGTCTTCTTGTTTGGCTTAGTCTCCTGCAGCAGGGGCCTAGGTTACTGGAAGATTCACGACTCCTATAACTGCAAGTACAGGGCCAGTCACGAGATCCAAATCCCGGGGCATAACAAATTTGGTATCAGAGCCGCTCGTGATGACAAACCAATCAGAGGAATTTATGAAGAAACTGGAAGCCTTCATGACCCAACAAACCCAAAGCACAAGTGAATTGAAGGCTGCGGTGGAAGCCTTGCAAGCCAAGCAAGCAACATTGGAGGAAGGCTTATCGGCATGAAGCCATAACAAATCCAATAAACAAGGGGGTTCGAAAGCTAGTGTGGAGGAGGAGATAGGGATGGAGTCATTCGATGATCCACCAGAGCAAAGTCAAGGAAGAGGCAGGGGACAGGTTTCGGCTATGGCAGTGCTCTAGAAGCTAAAGGACCGACAACTACCACGGTCGTCAGACGGGGAAAGGGTCCTGTTGGGGGACAACCAAATGGATCAGGTCGAGTAATCGGGAAAGGGAATGGTTCATGGCGAACTGGGCAACCACAACCATTTAAGCACAGTTGGGACCAGTACAGAACAGAAGGATTTATCCGCCAGGAGCGACCACAGAAGGAGTGGGAAGACTTTGAGGACACAGGGTACCGTGGCAACCGGGTACCAAGGTTCGCAAAGATGGAATTCCCGACTTATGATGGAAAAACTAACCCAACGGAGTGGCTACAAAAATGTGAAGATTTCTTTGAAGAACAACAAACACCAGTTGATGCATGGGTCCGACAAGCAACGTTTTCTCTGCAAGGGCGAGCCAGCAGTTGGTATCATAATCTCAGGAGGATGAAGGACAAAATGACGTGGAATGATTTTTCAGAAGAATGCAAAATCCGGTTCGGCCCGCCTATGAGCATGAATCCGCTAGGGGAGCTGACCCGCTTACGCCAACTTGGAACAGTGGAAGATTACTGTGAAGGTTTCGAATCCCTTTTGGGTCGTACCACGGGGGTCACACCAGAACAGAGTATTTGGCACTTCTGTGCAGGTTTAACCAATGCAATTCGGTATGAAGTTGAGTACGCGAAACCAAATACCCTATATTTTGCCTTGAACCTAGCAAGGCAAATCGAGCTCAAATTGTCAGAAGAGGGCCATGTTAGAGGGCTCGGAGCACCCCCATCGGGAAGTCGACCCCCAAATGCAATCAGAAACCGGGAAGCAACAAGGGCAGCTGCTACAAAAAAAGAACCAAGGAACCCTACTTGGAAGCGTCTCACGACATCTGAAATGGCGGAACGGAGAGCAAAGGGGTTGTGCTTCAATTGCGACGAGATGTTCTCAGTCGGTCACAAGTGTGCCAAATTGTTTTGCATTATGATGGCAGATGAGGACGAAGAAGATCAGACTCAACTTGAAGTGACACCAAAAATTTCGCTGAGTGCCATACGTGGAGAAAAAACTGACAGAACCTTTCAGGTGCGAGCACTTATTGGTTCCGGAACTGCATGGGTGCTTCTTGATAGTGGCAGCACCCATAATTTTATTGCCAGCAGAGCAGCCGACCAACTGCAGGTCCCGGTGCATCACTGCCCAGGACTTCGTGTCGCACTACCAGATGGAGGGAGAATAGCGAGTAGTGGGATAAGTCGTAATACACAAATGACGGTTCAAGGCTACGAGTTTTCAGCCGATTTCTTCGCTATTCCACTGGAAGGGTTCGACATGGTATTAGGGATTCATTGGCTGAAACGATTGGGGCGCATCCTATGGGATTTTACAGTTAGGGAGATGGAATTTACTATCGATGGTAGGGCAATTAAATGGCATGGCGAGACACCCGACACGACAACACTTGCTGCTCTTAGTGGTTCTGATGAGAATGAGCCAAACCTCGATAAATTATTAGAGTCCTTTTCGGATATTTTTGAAAAACCCCAGGGTCTGCCCCCCTCTCGGTCATGTGATCACCAGATCAGACTTCATTCGGGCACCAAACCAGTTACGGTGCGACCTTACCGATACCCCCATCTCCTAAAGGATGAAATAGAAAAACAGTGTACAGAGATGTTACAGAACGGAATAATTCGGCCTAATCAATCACCTTTTAGTTCTCCTGTTCTCCTGGTCAAAAAGCATGACGAATCGTGGCGTTTCTGTGTTGACTACCGAGAATTAAATGCCAAAACAGTCAAAGACAAGTTCCCTATCCCGGTAGTAGAGGAACTCCTTGATGAACTACACGGAGCGATGTTTTTTTCTAAGCTCGACTTAGCCTCCGGGTACCACCAGATCCGCATGTCACCCTTGGATATCGAGAAAACGGCTTTTCGCACTCAACATGCCGTTCGGGTTGTCAAACGCCCCATCGACATTCCAAAGCTTAATGAATGACGTCTTCCGCCAACAACTGCGCAAGTACGTCTTGGTTTTTTTTGATGATATTTTAATCTATAGCCGAACAGGGGAGGAGCACTTTCATCACCTCCAAACAGTTTTCTGCCTGTTACGCGCACACATACTCTTTCTAAAAAATTCCAAGTGCTCCTTCAATCGCAAGGAAGTCACATATCTAGGTCATATTATTCACCAAAAAGGGGTTTCGGTTGACCAAAGTAAGATTGCAACAATTCAAGATTGGCCAAAACCTCATAATATCCGAACTCTACGCGGATTCCTCGGCTTGGCGGGCTATTACCGAAAGTTCATTAAAGACTATGGCAACATTGCTGCCCCATTGACTAGCATGCTTAGAAGGAACGGTTTTACATGGAGCAAAGATTCAGAGGCAGCATTCACAAACTTGAAACGTGCACTATCAGAATCACCGGTTTTAGCATTGCCTGATTTCTCAAACACTTTTGTTGTCGAGTGTGATGCATCAGGTAATGGCATCGGCGCAATCCTTCAGCAAAACAACCACCCAATTGCTTTCTTTAGCCGTAAACTTGCAGACCGCCACCACAAACTTCCAGCATACGATAGAGAACTAATCGGCTTAGCTAAGGCCGTTGCCCATTGGAGACCTTACTTGTGGGGTAGACCATTCCTGATCAAGACAGATCATTATAGCTTAAAGTTTTTGCTGGAACAGCGCCTCACAACCTCGCCACAACAACATTGGGTCAGTAAACTTCTTGGCTTTGATTTTCAGGTTGAATACCGTGCAAGGGCCCTCAACAAGGCAGCAGACGCCTTATCCAGGCGAGAAGAAGAGATCGGGGTGGGTGAGCTGTTTGCTTTATCAGAAGTCCGCATAGATATTTTTTCTTCCCTCCAACAAGAGATCGACACTAGTGCGGACCTTCAAGACTTGCGCCAACGGATTATAGGCGGTACCGAGGCGACCAAGTGGTCAGTCCGAGATGGACTCATTTTTTACAATAAACGAGCATATTTGCAACCAACGTCTCCGCTGGTAGAGACAGTTCTATCAGGCATTCATGACTCGGCTCATGAAGGGACTCAGAAAACTATGGAGCGGATTCGTCGAGATTTCTATTGGAAGGGATGGAAAAAGACGGTTCAAGACTATGTTCGTAATTGCATGGTGTTTCAACGCAATAAATGGGAAACACTACAGCTTGTAGGTCTTTTGCAGCCCTTACCGATCCCTACTACGATCTGGGCTGATATTTCAATGGATTTTGTTGAGGCTCTCCCTAAGGTGTCGGGAAAATCGGCTTTACTGGTTGTCGTAGACCGTTTCTCTAAATACGCCCATTTTATCCCCCTCGGGCATCCGTACATGGCTGAATCAGTTGCACGAGTGTTTTTTTCGGAAATTTTCCGGCTGCATGGTCTTCCCGAAACCATTGTGTCTGATCGGGATAAAATCGTCCAAAGTGCCTTTTGGAAAGAATTATTTCGTCTCTCTGGAACAAAACTCTCTTTTTCTACAGCCTACCATCCACAAAGTGATGGCCAAACAGAGGTGGTTAATCGCACCATCGAAATGTACTTACGTTGCTTGACAGGGGATAGACCGCGTCGTTGGCTTACATGGATACCTTGGGCGGAGTACTGTTATAATACATCTTACCACACGGCTCTTAAGGCAACGCCTTTCAAACTTGTTTATGGCAGGGATCCACCTAGTTTGCTTAATTATATGAGAGGTCACTGTAAGGTGGATGCGGTAGACCAAGCCTTGATCGACCGTACGACCTTCCTGCAAGAAGCACGCAACCGTCTGGCTGAAGCACAACAACGCATGAAGACAACTTATGATGATCACCACCGCCTTCTGGAGTTTCAGGTGGGTGATTGGGTTTGGCTAAAACTGCAACCTTATCGCCAGATGTCCGTTTCTAAGAATAATTTTAATAAGCTGTCTCCTAAGTTTTATGGACCTTTTGGTGTTATTGAAAAAATCGGGTCAATCGCCTATCGGTTGGCATTACCAGAGGGGTCTCGTATCCATAACGTGTTTCATGTGTCCTTATTGAAGCCACATCACGGGTTCCCACCTGAGATAGTTACCGAACTTCCACAGCTCTTGGATGGAAAGACTCTATCTACTCCTGTCAAAGTGTTGCGTATGCGGAATTTGCAAGGCAAACCCGAGTTGTTGGTTCAGTGGGCTCCTGATTCTGTCGAGAGTGCTACTTGGGAAGATCAAGCCACCTTCCAGGAAGCTTATCCAGATTTTGAGCTTGAGGACAAGCTCAATGCGGAGGAGGGGAGTAATGTTATGGTCGCCAATAACAGATATGGCAAGGTTTATCAGAAGCGTAAGAAAGAACCTAAGGCAAGTGGAGGAGGTTAAAAGGATTTCATTTTTTAATGCATGCTATTAATTAGGAGTATTTTAATTCAAGATAATGTCTAGTTTTGAGTCTAATTCTGTTTCCAAAGTCTTGGTGATTTAGGATATTTGCTTTCCTTATTTTTGAGTATTTGTTTTCCCTATTTAAAGGGCAGTCTTTATTGGAAAAAAAGCATGCTTGAATTTCTTAACAATCAGAGAATAATATCAGTCTTCTTGTTTGGCTTAGTCTCCTGCAGTAGGGGGCTAGGTTACTGGAAGATTCACGGCTCCTGTAACTGCAAGTACAGGGCCAGTCACGAGATCCAAATCCCGGGGCATAACATGCTGCAGGGTTGCTGGAAGTTTCATGGATGGGTTATGTGTGAGCATCCGACCAGTTGAGGAATGTTTAGCCTTTCTCTAGGGATGAGAATATGATGTATGTGTAATCTAGTGTGTGCTGTTCGGGTTGCTGTGATGATCTTCTGAGACAAATATAGGTAGGTGTGGAAGGTGGTATGAGTCTGTACTACCGGAAGCACAAGACCCATACGCGTAGCAGGGAAGTCACAAATCCTAGGGTATTGTTATTTAGAATAGCTCGTATGGTATGAAATGTGTCTTATCTGATATTTTTATGGTTTATTTTAAGTATGGTGCTCACAAGGGGATCAGGTTCAGGAGCCGAAGCGGGCGGCCAGGATAGGCCAGGGTTGACTGAGGATCAGATTAGGGAGTTGATTTCTGTTGAGGTTGTTACTGCTATCCGGGGATCGATACTGGAGTTGTTGTTGGGTTTTAAGTACTATAACCCTCCTATGGTACACATACAACCCTAGATGCTTTGGATCTAAGTTTTCTCTAATTATACATGAAATTTCATTTTCCAAAGCATGAAGCCTAACTAGCATGCAAATTTGATATTTGAATCATAAAAACTAGTTAGATGATTACCTCTTATTGTAGCTTGTAGAGTTTGTCCTTTCAAGAGCTTAGCACCTCAAGTGTGATGCCTCAAATGTTTCACAAAACACCACCAACAATTGGATGACAAATGAGAGAGAGAGAGAGATTGAAGCACTAAAACCGGCTATATCTTCTTGGAATCACTTGTGTGTCGATTTTGGAGCTAAGGGAACATAATTATAGTGTAGAATTCCAAGAGTCACTTGTGAACCCTAATTCTTACACTTAGGCTTATGATCCAACAATTGATTTGGACTAACACTTCATGGACTATCTTATAAGCTTAGTCCATCACAAATCAATCATGGATTATTAGCCCAAACCATATGTATCACTGATTTACATAATCAGTCCCCGTTAATTTAATTGGTCTCTTTTGATCACTAAATTAATTCCAAATTAATTCTTGATCAATACTAATTAAATAATATGATTTCTCAATTAATATATTATACTTATAATATTAATAAATCACAAATAACCTCTTTCTCAAATATCCACCCTATCAAATTGTTATGATGAATGCAACCCAAAATGGACAATGCTACTATCGGGTCAAGTACATACCAATTATTGTTATGGGCTTAGACACCTAATCCAACAGTCTCCCACTTGGATAAGTCTAATAACTATAACTGCCAATGCAACTTTGAAATCCGATTAGCAATCGTAGCTATCAGAAAGCCACTGTCGAATACTGACACGTCCTTTAGATAAGGGATCATATAATCCTATGTTTTTAAAGATATCATGCGGACAAATACATGGAACATAGTCATACTTATTGTCCAGCAGTTTGTTTCCCGATTTCTGATTTGTTTGACATAGAACTTAATTGAACACATCAATTGAGTCCTGACCGGACACATAAGTCAAAACAAAATCATCGAGGGGCCCAATATATCGCTTTTAATCCTCTTAGGATATAAGGAACATATAAACTTCGACTTATATGCTTATACTAACTACTCGTTAAATCATACACAACAACACGTTTTATAACATCAAGTTACTGATACGTTTTTGTATTGTCAATGCATAACCAACTCATAATCAACAACTCATATATCTCCGTTTGAAGACTATACAATATTATCGTCTCACAATCACTCATGATAAATCCCATGAAATGATTCATGTGAGCGTGGGTTTAGTCCAATACTCAAATCTTATTTCAAGAGCACTCATGAATGTTGTAGCAAACTTTTTCTATGTCTAACACCTTAGACAATCTTACAAACCCATTCATGACAGTCAAGTTTCATAACTTACTTCCAAAGTATGATCGACTGTGGATAGTTTGAATAATCTTATTATTCTGGAAGTCAAAACATGCAAAAGTGAAACAAATATGGCAAGGTTCATGATGGTGCTTGTCGATCTTCTTCGGGATGCCACAAATATGGGAAGGAGGGGCATTATGTGAAGGATTGTTGTTAGCAGGTCCCTTCCGAGCACCCGGATATGTTATCACTGTGAGTAGGTTGGCCATGTGAAGGACAACTGTCCCTTGCTTGCTGCAAGGCCGGCACAGGCCCCAACATCGGCTACTATGAGGATTACGGATGGATGTTAGGGTAAGGAAGAGCCCCCGACGGCTCGAGGTCGTGCTTTCCAGCTCACTGCAAAGGAGGCCAGGGCGGCGCCGGACGTGTTACTGGTATGTCTCTATTTATTATTCTGTTAATTATTTTATGGTATGCTTATGTTTGTGCTTCTGATAGGTACCATCTTAATGAATTCTTTGCCTGCTCTTGTGTTATTCGACTCGGGTGCGAGTTGGTCCTTTGTATCTTAGTCTTTTAGTAGGGGTTTTGATATGACTCTTGGAGAGTTGGGGTGTCCGTTGTGGGTTTCTATCGCCAATGAACACATGATATCTGCATCGAGCGTTTATCGGGGTTGTGTATTGGAGATTTTTGGGGTGCCTTATTTGATTGATTTGATTCTAATCGCCATGGGGGATGTGTGTGTGATAGTAGGGATGGATTGGCTGAGTAGATTTAGGGCTAAGATCGACTGCAAGGGTCAACGAGTGGTAGTTCGAACCCCAAGTAGGGGAGAAGTGGTTATTTACGGAGAGGGTACTAGATTGGAATCAACCTGTTGTTCTGCTGCCAAAGCTCGACAGTATATTCAGCATGGGTGTATGGGTTATCTTGCTTATGTGGTTTATGCCCAAGTGGGGAAGCAGGTTTCGATTTCAGAGGTGCCAGTGGTTAGAGACTTTGTTGATGTGTTCCCGGAGGAGTTACTCGGCGTGCCTCCCGAGAGGCAGCTTGAGTTCAGGATTGATTTGATTTCGAGTACGGCTCCGATTTCCAAGGCATCGTACCGATTGGAACTGCCTGAGATGCATGAGTTGTCCTCTCAGCTTCAGGAGCTGTTTGGCAAGCAGTTCATCAAACCGAGCAGTTCATCGTGGGGAGCACCGATTTTATTCGTAAAAAAGAAGGATGGTTCACACCGGATGTACATTGATTCCTAGGATTTGAACAATTTGACGGTGAAGAACCATTATCCCATTCCACGGATTGATGACCTATTTGATCAGTTGCATGGTGTATCTTGGTTCTCCAAGATCGATTTGAGGTTGGGGTATCATCAGATGAGGGTTATAGAGGAGGACATGGAGAAGACCACGTTCCGGACTCGTTATGGTCATTACGAGTTCGTTGTGATGCCATTTTGGCTCACTAATGTGCCTGCGACCTTTATGGATTTAATGAATCAGTGTATAGGCCGATGCTCGACCGATCAGTTATTGTATTCATTGATGATATATTGGTGTATTCCAAGACCGGGGAGCAACATGAGGAGCACATTCGAGAGCTTCTGGGAGTTTTGAGGCGAGAACGGTTGTATGCCAAGTTCTCAAAGTGTGATACCCCTCACTCGTCTAACGAGGAAGGGCGTGGATTTCCGTTGGGGGTTTGAGCGGAAGGCTGCGTTTAAGACACTAAGACAGAAGTTGTGTGAGGCCCTAGTGTTGACCCTCCCCGAGGGTGTTGAGGATTTTGTGGTATTCGATGATGCATCCATCACGGGTTTGGATGTAGTGATTATGCAGCGTGGGAGGGTTATTGTTTATGCTTCTTGGCAGCTGAAGCCGCATGAGGTCCGTTATCCAACTCATGATTTGGAGTTGGGAGACAGTGGTGTTTTCTCTCAAGATTTGGCGGCATTACATGTATGGGGTTCGGTGTACTATCTACACGGATCACAAGAGTCTGAGATATCTCATGGATCAGCCGAATCTGAATATAAAGCAACGTAGGTGGCTTGACGTAGTCAAGGATTATGACTACGAGATTATGTACCATCCCGAGAAAGCCAATGTAGTGGCTCATGCTTTGAGCTGCAAGACGACTAGTTCTGCATTAGAGATCGTTGTATGAGGATTTCGATTGATTTGCCATTATTGAGTTTGATCAGGAGGCTCAGACCGAAGGAGTCAAGAAGGAAAATTGGAAGCAGGAGAGGCTCAGGGGTGAGGTTGACAGGTTTCTACTGATAGTTGCGAATTATTGACCAGGTATGGACGATTTTGGGTTCCAGTCTTTGGTGAGATTAGACAGACTGTATTGGAGGAGATACACAAGCCCAGGTTTTCGATACACCCTAGAGCCACTAAGATGTACTGGGATTTGAGACTTAGCTACTAGTGGTCGTGCATGAAGAGGGAGATAGCATGGTATGTTTAGAAGTGCTTGACCTATCGGATGGTCAAGGCCAGATACCAAAGACCATATGGCAAGTTGCATCCACTGGAGGTTCCCATGTGGAAGTTGGAACATATTACTATTGATTTCATTACCAAGCTACCTCGGACGACTAAGGGACATGATGCAATTTGGGTGATAGTGGATCGGTTGACCAAGAGTGCCTATTTCTTAGTTATCTGTGCGAGCTCATCGGCCGAGAAATTGGTCGACGTGTACGTACGTGAGATCGTTGCTCGGCATGGTATTCCAGTCTCTATTGTATCCGATCGAGATGTTAGGTTCACATCTCGTTTTTGGCAGAAGTTCCATGAGGAACTGGGTATGAGA